CATAGGTGCGTCCTGCTCCATCGTTCTGTCCGCCTGTCTCTATGGATAGGACCGCTCATCTACATGAGCATATCCATCTGGATAACAGTGTCGAAAAGATCCGGCAATGGCAGAAGGAGTACCTGGCGAGGTTTCCCTAGATGTTGTTCTACTTTGATAGCATCTCCGAGGATCTCCGCTATAGCTGTCCAAGCAGGCTGTCAGCCTGGGAGCTGTATGACCCCCCCTTCCGGTCTATATGTTCTCCCTTCTTATGCTGTCTGTGTTGCTTTTCATCTATCGCGATGAATGCTTCTTCTCTTACAACATCACCCACGTTGTGACCACCCGCCCCATTCCCACCGAGGACGAGGTTCATGCCTCGCACCACGAGCAGCATGCTCATGAGGAGCAGCCGCAGACGATCAATCCTTCCCTGCTCAACCGATCTACCGACACTCGGCGGCGTCTATTCGATACCGGCACCAAGAGGACACACGCTCAACTGCAGGATGACAGCCTCCGCCGGCCCAAGCCCATGCGAAACAATGACATTCTGCACAAGGCCCGCGATATGGGCAAGAAGATCTGGCCCTTGGAGAAATTTCAGAGGATGCTCGAGATCCTTCTGCAGCCTGACCCTCATGCTGCCGTGGCCATCGCACATGCCGGCAAAGACGATGCTGGTCGGCACGGCTTGGGGGGCAAGAAGGCGGCCGAAGAGCCAAACCTGTCCCAGCTCCTGCAGCGGGAGCGACTTAACGGACCTTCTGACCGAGACCCAACCGTCGCCAGCCGCGAGCTGATCCAGTTCAGAGGACCTTACATTTATGTTTACGACATGGACGAGAAGCAAAAGCCCATCATGGTGCGCGAGTACCCGAGGGCCAGCAAGTATGAGGGAGAGTGGCCGCAGTTCAGAACCGTCACCGATGGACGCTGCCCCTTCGTGGAGGAAGTTGACCCCGTCGACCGTGCAGCGAGGAAGTCTCGGGCCGAAGAGAAGGAGAGGGCCGCCAGGCGTGTCATCGAAGCTCGCCCCAGCCTACAGCCTCCTGAGGCGCAGGCGCCGAAAGCCGTCATTGGTAAGCGAACTCTGGCTGAGATGCAGAACGGTCAGGAGCAGGTCCGCGCTACCTCTGTGAACCCCGCCGACGTCTTCAAGGCGCCCAAGACGATCGAGTCCAAGCCGTCCGACTTTGGTTTTGTCAGCCGAGCGCCTGCCGGCCGCTTCCTTGCCGGAGAGCCTGTCGCATCAGGTGTCCAGCCGTCCAATGTCACTTCTGCCATTCGTTCTCAGATGATCTCATCAGCCACCGGTACCGGCGCCGCCAAGGCGGGCACGAGCAAGGAGATTCATGGACTTCAGCGCAAGGTTCTCCAGAGAGGCACATCCTATTCGCAAGACCCCAGCTCTCGGCGACCCGACCTCAGTGTCGATGTCGCATCTAGCAGATCCGGGAGCACCGTACGGGCCACTAGTCGACGCCTGGAACTGATCGAGGGAGGACGCCCATAAGGCTGAGTTGAGGCAGACGCGGGCCAGCACCAAGGCGCAGTCGGCCCTGCCCCAGAAGAGCAAACGGGATCTCAAGCCTGGCTATTGTGAGAACTGTCAGGACAAATTTAAGGACTTCGATGAGGTACGTAGCGTGGTGAATCTTACCCAGACTTTGCTTTGCTGACTCGTTTTAGCACATCCTTTCTCGCAAGCACCGCAAATTCGCCGAAAACCTCGACAACTGGGCCGAGCTCGATGAGCTTCTGGGGAAGCTCGAACGACAACGCTGTAAACCTCGCTCACAATACTACAGCGAGTGGCAGGCTGCACTCTGATGCGGACCTATCTCGCCTTTCTCCTGCCTCCCACAACCTCTTCGCTTTGACTTCTCGATTATCTGCCCTTCTCCGCTTCGGCTACTCAACGATACCCTAATTCCAACAACCAATCAACCAGTCCTCAGCACACGGAACGTGCTTTGTTTTTCATCATTACTGCGCGAGCCATGGCCTTCCCCTCACACGAGGAAGCCATCAATAAGATACCACTTGGTTCAGCATTGTCGTCCCTCGAGACTTCATTCATCTTCACCTTCCCTTCGATTTTTTGCGTCGACCACCAGGCAAAGGAGGCATTGCATGCACAGCGGCGTACGGCATGAAGCATTTACATAGTGGCTCCCATCGAATGGGATCTCCTTCTTTTTTCTTACTTTTCGGAGGGTTGAATGGTACTACTGCGGAATCACGTTGGCGACGGCAAGCGGGTACAAGGGCATGTGATCTTGGAGGAGGGAGACAGAGCTTGGAGGGGGCAACAGGATCCAGGCCCCAGAGTGGCAGAAACTGGACATGCCTAGTCACGTTGACCCGGGAAGAAAGGGGTCACGATAATCATGGCGTTATGAGCGTTTTCGTGTAGATTTACTGAGCAGTTGATACAAATGATATCGTATGTCTCATGTAAGCCGACTGAGTAGTAGACATGGTCTTTAATGCGTGACTCACTTCGCTTGTATGTACCTTGAAGTCATGTACATTGTGGGCGAACCACGTTGTTGGGAGTATTGTCAGACACGATAGGCAAAGCAAGGGTCTCTGAAGTTCACCACCTAATTGTTTCAAATGCCAATGCAAGGAAGAGACGGGATGCGTATCCAGACAAGAAAATAACTCCCTTCCCTGAGATTGACGTCCATTTCAAGTGAGGATACTCCACACCGTTGTCTTGATTTAGGTCAAGTTGAACACTGTATACGTTAAATTCATCTGCCCATCTGCCCATCTGCTAGCTAATAGACTCTGCAAACCGTCGGATTCAGACAGAACTGGGGCATCATATGCTGATAGCAATTCCTCCACGTGATCCCCGCCCTTGAAGGCCGATAGTTGTAGTGTGGTCAAGCTGTGTGTGTACCTTCTGCATCAATATGGGAATTTGACATGGAAAGTATCTTAACCACTGCCCCGCATCCGTTCGCGGCGGCCTAGAACAATAGTTTGCGCCAGTATTTTGTGTCCTTTGGTTTTCCATTGACTTGTCCCTTATCGAGGAGTATCTTGACTGCCGCCTCGCATCCGCTCATGATAGCCCACTATAGTGGTGTCTGATCGTATGTTTTATCCCTCGAGTTAACGTCGACTTTTTCATTACCGAGAAGCACCTTAACTATTGCCTCTTTCCCGTAAAAAGCGGCTAATTATAGTGGTGTCCGGCCTTGACTATCCCTCGAGTTAACATCGACGTTTTCCTTATCGAGAAGCATCTTGACTACCGCCTCGTTTCCTTTCAAAGCGGCCCATGATAGTGGTGTCCGGCCGTCTCCATCCTTGGAGTTGAAGTTGACCTTTTCCGTATCGAGAAGTAGCTTTACCATCGCTTCGCGTCCGTTCTCCGCAGCCCGCGATAGCGACGTCCGGCCATAACTGTCCTTCATGTCTGGTCTGTCGCCGCTGTCCAAAAGTCCCTTCCCAGCTTTTTCTAGCCCAAAATATGCTGTGACATGGAGCCCTTGCATTCTCTTTGGAAACCGCTGGCTGTATCCTCGTGGGCGAAACCTTTCGGCCACCCACAGGACCTGAACCTGTGCCTCAACATTTTTCTCGTTCCTAAGTAAACCAAGAACCGCCGGAGAAGTTTCTCCGGCCTCTCGAGCATGGTCACCCCAGAAGTGGGCGACGTAGTCGTAGAGAGGGTGGAGTCGTAATCGGTCCTCGAAGTCGGCATCTGTGCGGCAGAACCCCGACTCAAAAGAGCTGAACGATAGAGATGTGGCGCAGACCTTTGTGATCTCCGTCTGTGCATCTGCAAACCATCGTTTCCACGTGCGCATGAAATATTCCTGCGTAGAATAGTGCACCAAGCGGATGATGTTGCTCTCCTCGTCCACCGTGACCAGTCCCGCACAAACAGACATTATGTCTTCTGGCTGTGAGATGTTGTCGAGGTCCAGCTCCGTTTCACCCACTTCAACACCAAGTGCATGCTGGAGCTCTATTGTGGATAGCGGCCGCTTGGCGCAGGTGATCCACGACAGAACTTGCTTCGCGAGCTCCACCTCGTCCTTGCGCTGACCCTCGATGCGCTTCATCGCATCATCGTACGCAAGGTCATACGCTTGAGAGCCGGCGTGCAACACGCTCAGAGCCGAGCGGACAGCTTTGGGGGATCTCTTCCCCTTCAAGGAGTCGAGATGCAGTTGCGCAAGAAGGAACCTGGTTCAGTTAGCATAGTCCCGTGAGATTTAGGGGGCACAATCATACATTCCATCGACAGCTTCGACGATCTTGGTTGTAATCTCAGCCTGTAAATCTGGACTCCGATTGACACATGCCGGCATGTGAGCCATGTTGCCCTTGAGATATCTCTGGACATCTTCCGCGCGTGCTCGAATACCCAGTGATACGCTGCCCGTGAACATTTCGGTAATGTTTGCAGTATATCTCGATGTTGCGATGAAGTTGGCTCTAGACGTGGTCTGCAGCGCGGATATCTCCGTCAGAAACTGATGTCGACTACCATCAGATAGCTGGCATTCATCAAGAGCGTCGACAACGATGAAGGTCCTTGAAAAGATCTTCGCCACAGTCTGCAGTGCTCTAGATAGTTCCTCGAGGGTTGGCCGAGTCTTGCCTTTGTGTTTACTATGTAGACTTCTGACGCACTCTGGCAAGGATGTGTGATTCTGGGATAGCTGCTTCAGCAAGCTTGATAGTAGATCTTCAACCTTCTGTTCCGCCTGTCGTCGAAAGTTACAGTATAGGAATGCTATGCCGACGTGCTCGTCATCCCGGAACCGAATATAGAGGTTGTCAATGACAATCGATGTAAGAATTGTCTTGCCAGCTCCAGGGATGCCTAGACAAAATAGAGTCCGCTGTGACGTTTCGATCCACTGCTGGTATTCCGCCGAGTCCAATAGCCACTGACCAGTGCCCGCTTGCCGACGTCTGACGAAATCGCTCTGCTGCGTGCTATAGTCCGCCGTTGTGATCCAGTCGAGGATGGCTTTATCCTCTCGGTCCACTTGCCAGCCTTGTTGCTCTTTCCTCGCGTCTGTGACTTGTTTGTGAACATGGACAACGAGAGCCAGGGTGTCTAGGACCACCAATTCGTTCAAGGCGGCACATTGTCTATGAAGGCTCTTGACCGCCTCCTCCAGTTTCCTCGCCTGAAAGACTATCTTAAACCGTTCCCAGCCAATGCGATGTCCCTGCAATCGCTTCTTCAGGTCGTCGTAAAAACTGTCCAGCTTTCGCTTGCATGCTGAGACCATTACATTGGTGTCTGTGGGTCCCGCCTTGTCTCCAACCTCCGTCAGGAGCGTGGAATGTCGGCCATGAAATGCACTCTTGAAGTCGTCATCAACGAGAATATTCGTATAATGGATGGTTAGAGTGACGAAGATCTGTCCATCAGGCAGAATCTTTGCACACGAAGCGGGGTCAGGGTGAGCAATAAGGCTCGCTCATGGTGACGAATGATGTGAGCTCAGATTACTTACGCGCTCCGGCAGCAGCAGACTGAGCGTCGTACAGTACATGATTGGCGGCGGGGGTGGCTCGGTTCAAGCATTCCGAATTCGACTGCTTGTGGAAATGAACTGCGAGAGGGTATCGAGAGGGCAGACGGCGGAGTGGCGGCATCGTTGGAGACGGAGTCATGATGGCCAGGAGTCGGGAGCATATTCTTCAACTAACTTAGATTCGAGCCGACAGTGTGTTCCCTGTGGAAAGACTTCAACCCCATCCACCCCCCCCCCGAGTAAGATGAGATAGGCACAACGGGGCGGCCCAGGGAGGCGGAAATCAAAGGGTAGATGAGATCATGTAAGGATAAGTGAAGACAGACGTATCGTACGAAGGCACCGCGAAAAAGAGCTAGTCGTGCCGTCGTCTGCCTGGGATAAGGAGGCGACGTAGTCTGTACGTCTGGAAGGTGGGATCTATGAACGGAAGAGATTCCTTCGGTACTCAATTCGTGGTTCCTCTAGGCACTTTTGCTGTCAGGAAAGATACTGGTGTATGTAAGGTTCTTCAAGGGCCCGTTTTCTGTGAGGGGATGTGATCGAGATGAAACTGGTTCTTGGGAGGTTGCCACAGGAGTCTTATTGTTAAAATGGTGTTGAAATTCGTTTTTGCATATCGAATGCAATTTCCAGAGAAGAGTTGTCATTTGGTTTCCAAGCTGCGCATCGCTTTACAGCCTGGGAACCGCGAATCTACTACCCTTTCGTGCTTTAGCCCCCTTATCCTATAGCTTTGCTCTTGTTGGTGCCGGCTGCTCCTCCCATAGTCCTGAGAGCTCGCCCATGATGGTGTCCATGACGGCCCCCAACCGCACAGCTTCGTACACCTTACTCACGTCACTTCCGATCGTCGGCTGCCCGTGGGCGAGAACCCCGCGTTTGAATGGTATGGCGAGCGCCCCGCGGACGACGCCGTACAGCACGCTCGACCCATGACCCAGTCCAGGCATAGCCGGGTTTCCCGTCGGGACCGACACGGCCGGCTCGGGGTCGTTTGCGGGGTCCGCGACCCAGGCAAGCATGTCCTTGCAGAGACCAATCTCGAATGCCGCGATGGCTTCCAGGGGCGCGAAGCCCTGTGCCATGGCCAGGGAGAGGATGTGCGAGGCTACGCGGGAGGCTACGCGGCGGCAGCGGGTCTGGTAACTTGTCTTGTTGTCGTCGTGCCAAGTGTCAGTGAAGAGCGCGACCACTTCGGCACGCTGCGCCTCGTCGAGCTTGATGCTGATAGAGGCAAGCGCGGGAAGCGGTGTATGGGCGGCGAGGAAGCGGCGGTGGTAGTGCCGCAGGTCGATGGCTTGGCAGCAGACGTAGGCGTGGCAAGCGCACATGTGGGCGAGGATGTCGAGTGCCTCCATCGTGCGGCGGGCCGAGAGAAAGGCGAGCGAGTTGATGCCTTGGTTGTGCAGCTCGGCCGATTGCACGTGGGCCGAGACGGGGTGAGCGAGGGCAGCGAGCTCGGCCATGTAAGCACTCATATTGACGTCGATGCCCTTCATCGTGTACGAGTTGTCTGGGTCGCCGAAGACGAGGTTAGCGTCAAGGCCGTTATTGAGTGACGGGTTGATGAGCTCCGTGCATTGCGAGTAGACCATGCGGCCGATCATCTGCAGGGCATTCTTCGTCTTGTCCATGGCTGACGTGACGGCTGTCGCTTGGAAGTTGCCGCCCGAGTAAACATCGCCCTCGGGACCTGCGGCTGTATCGATGACGGGATTGTCAGAGGTCGAGTTGAGCTCGATCTCGATCTGGCGTTGGGCGAGGAGGAGGTCCTCCAGGTAAGGGCCGAGCCATTGGGGGGCTGTACGCGTGGAGTAGCGATCTTGCCAGAGGCCCTCGCCGGTGCGCTTCCGGGACTCGAGGCCGGTGACAAACGTGGACCCTTTGAGGAGGGCGCGAATGGTCGAGGCCGCCTCCCGTTGACCAGGGTGGGGCCGGATGGCGTGAATAAAGGGGTTCGACCATTCCACGTTGCCGGCAAGGGACTCTGCGGTGAAAGCGGTGAGCAGCTGGGCAAGGATGGCAAGCTGCTGAGATTCATGTACGATGAGAGCAGCGAGAGCTACAGAAGGTGCCGTGCCGTTGATGAGACCCAGGCCTTCTTTCGGGGCGAGCTCAATAGGTGTGATGTTGTGCATCTCAAAGGCAGCCTGGGCTGTGGTCAGCCTATGAGGGGCGGAAGGCCCATGGCGGACTCGGATTCCGGGGCTTCCTGTCAGGGTGCCGGCGATATAGGATAGGGGCATGAGATCGCCCGAGGCGGATATGGTGCCGCGTAGAGGCACCACCGGTGTGATATCGAACCAGAGCAGCTTAAGCAGTGTCTGAATGACCTCCAGCCTGACGGCACTGTGGCCGCGAAGATTCTGGTTTGCTCTCGCCAGGATGGCGGCTTTAACCCAGTCGGTGGGAATGGCATGAGACTGCCCATCGCGGTCGAGGAGCTCGCCGTTCACGTCAGAGGTGGCAATAATGGCACTTTGCGTGTGCTGAAGGAGAGAGATTTGAAGTCTGCGGAGCTTTTCGGTTCTGGCATCGGCACTCCCACCAAAGCCGGTGTTAACACCATAGATAACCCAATCATGATCCAGATGGCTGTTCAGGACGTCAATGCTTTGTTGTAGACGCTCTTTCAGTTGGGGGTCTTCTTTGATGTGAGGTACGAGGCCATGGCGAGCGACGGCAACGACGGAGGCGACGTCAAGGGATCGACCGTCGAGGGCTATAGAAGTACCGGCTTTGAGATCCTGTAGCTTCTTCCAAGTTTTGAGGGCGACAGAAGCATGCCGAGGGGCGAAAAGGTTGTCATCCATTGTGGGAGGCTCCGGAAGGAGAGTCAAGGGCAGAAGGAGGCGAAGAAGAGCTCCGTCAATGGGTGATGTGGTTTTTGCCGCGGAAACTACCAGGAAGAGAACTTGAGCTTGATATGGTACGAAACAGGATCGTAGAAATCGTAACGCAGCCCGCGAACAAAAAGGGGAGCAGTATCACAAGAGTCTCCTTGTGTGTCTCGGCGGATCGCTGATGCGATGGGACAGACACAAGGTGCAACTTGGTGATGGCCGTAATTGCCGCGGCTGCAATGGCTCAGGTACCAAGGTATGTTGTCCAGCACATGTGAGAGTAAAAGAGCGAGGGGTGCGCAAGGTCGATAGGTGCTTGAAGCAAGTGAGATGGCTCAAAGCACCGGTCTCAGGGAGGCAAGTCAAATTTGCGTGAGAGAAGTGGTCCGAGAGGATGGGAAAGCTCAATTCGGGCCTTGAACTGCAGCCTCAGGTCAACTAACGGTACAGAGATGACGGCAAGGAGAAGTAAATATCCCGGTACGCCACCAGATGGCTTGATCGTGCGCCAAATAGGCAGGCTATTCCCAAGAAGGGAGGCCATCGAGGGCGCATGTTGTGCCTTGTCTGCGGCAAAGTCGGGTTGATACTCGGAGGTAGCAAGAATGTCGAACGAATGAAGACATCTGTGGCCCAACAAGTGGCAGTTGGTGATGCGTTGATGTTGCTCTCTTTGGCCAGTCAGCTGCTCAGGGGAATGGTACTGTACACGAGGCAAGAGGGACTGGCTAGCTGCTCATGCCATTCGTTGGACGACATGGCAGGAGAGACCGGCGTTTCCCAGCGGACCTACGGGGGCCTACAGGGGACGATAGAGGCTTATAGGGGGCCATTCTGGCACTTGGGTACCTACCTGGCTGTGAGGCGACCCCTTAGCATGGTTTAATTGGCTGCGTCGGCTGGACCTCCGGCAAGAGTGGGGATCACAACCTCTGGACTTCAAGATCGAAGTCATGCACATACAGTACCTCGTCACGCCGATAAAGGCTCATCTCGTCAGGCAACCACGGCCAGTCCAACCTTCAAGATCCCAACTCGACACAATATCAACCCAACCGTTCAACTACCTCACATGGGTGACCATCTGCAGACCCTCACGCCTATTCGTACTACTGCATCACGCCTTGCAAGGCTGGCATTCGGCCCTCTCAAGTGTTGCATCAAAGATTGAAACACCACCACAACTACCGCAGGCGTCACCATGTCTTCTCCGGCGCAGCAATCCCCCCCAGCCTCGCCCCCTGACTCCCCTATACCCGACCGCACCACCTCGCCCGACATTCCCTTGACCATGTCGGCCTCCGCCATACTCACAGCCCAACCCCGCGATGTCACGGCCGCCCTCGCCAGTGCTGGCCTCTTTCCCAACGACAAGGTCGTCGTCAGCTTCAAGCCTATCGGCAGTGCCCCATCTCTCGCCCGCTCCGTCTTCAAGATCAGCGCCGATCAGAAATTTGAAAACATTGTCCAGCACTTGCGCAAGAAGCTCAAAGTCCAAAGCACCGACAGTGTCTTCTGTTATGTCAACAGCGCCTTTGCCCCTTCCCTCGACGAAGTCGTGGGGAACCTGCATGGCTGCTTCAAGGACATGAGCGACCAACTCGTTATCTCTTACTCCATGACACCAGCCTTCGGATGAACTCTCACCTCAAGTTGGCTAGTCGCTCATATGCCTCGCCACATGCACCCAGGTATGTCAAAAAATGTGCCCCAACATAGTGGCTCATATTTCTGTTAATACCTGCCTTATCGATGCTGACACTCGAAAGCACCCTCGAAATGGAAAACAAACCAGGGCTACAAAGGTTCTGCATTCTTCTTTTCCAATCCAAGCCTCCATGATATGCAATGCTCCATGCTCAAGAGATCACCAACTACGCCGAACACCAAGAATGCAACCAGTCTCGCTCTATCGCAACTCAACCCAATGCTGATACTCAAAGGCCTCAAATCTTCTCGACCGCCGCCTCAAATGCCTCCAGCTCCTCCTTCGAGATAGGATACGTGTGCTCCGGCGCCGGGTACTCCCGGCTCTTCACCTCGCGCTTGTAGGCCTCGATCGCCTTGAGACTCTCGCCCCAGACATCGCCATACTTCTTGACAAATTTGGGCAAGAAGCGACCTGGAGGGAAGTTGCCAATCATGTCAACTTGCACCAGTACCTGGCCCGAACACCCGTTACCGGCGCCAATGCCTATTGTTGGCACCGAGAGCTTCTGCGTCACGAGCGTCGCGACCTCAGCCGGCACGGCCTCCACTACCATGGCGAAGGCGCCAGCCTCCTGCACAGCCAGCGCATCCTCCAGGAGCTTCGCCGCTCCTGCCGCCGTCTTGCCCTGAACACGGAAGCCGCCCAAGGCGTTTTGCCGCTGTGGGGTCAGGCCAACGTGGCCGAGTACGGGGATGCCGGCCTGCGTGATCTTGCGGATGGTGGGGGCCATCTCCTTGCCGCCTTCGAGCTTGATACCTTGCATACGGCCCTGCTTGATGAAGCGAATCGCCGTCTCCAGCGCTTGGTCCGGCGAGATCTCATACGAGCCCATCGGCAGGTCGCCAATCTTTGACGCAGTTAGTCATTGCCACGGAGGGGACAGTGCGCGTATGGTACTCACGGTGAAGGCGCTCTTGGTCGCGCGTGCGACCGATCGACAGTGCAACAGCATCTCCTCGACGAGCACCTCGCTCGTGTCCTCCATCCCCAAGGCGACCATGGCGAGGCTGTCGCCCACGAGAATCATGTCCATGCCCGCGATGTCGCCAACGTAGGCGCTTGGGAAGTCATGTGCTGTGATGACCGTGATCGGGTCGCCCTTGCGATGCTGACTCCTGAGCTGGCCTAGGGTCACCTTTTTCCGCGCATTTCCGGATGATGCGCCCATGGGCGAGTGAGAACTCCATCGCAGCTTGTTGTGTTGTGACACAGCGGCGTAAAGGGGCTTGGCGGCGTTTGACGTGTGGTCGTGTGCTTCGGGCAGCCGAGGCACACGACCGGAAGAAGGTACTTTTAAATGGGAGCGACATTGGCATAAACCAAGGTACCTCGAAAAATAGTTGTGGCAGCTCAGCAGGGGATTGCAATGATCAGAGCCCGAGAAAAGATGATGCTTCCGAATGGAGTTCGAGTGTGCTTCTTTCCAATTTTTTTTTATGAGGAGAGAAAATTAGGGCGGGTGAGTTCTTGGTGCGGAAGGTTCTTTTATTGTCGAGGTCATGATGGTATATGCTGCGTAGAAATGCTCATGCTCTGCACCGTCTTGTGGTGTTGGAATTTCTGAACACTACCTAATAATAAAGGCCAGCGCCCCCCTGGACCACCCTCCCCCACTAGGGGCCGCTAATGCCTGGAAAGTGTGTTCTGGCCCGGAGGGCTGCCAGTATCTGGTTCAGCTCGGTTATGTCAGCAATTTACCTCGGCACCCCGTGCTGGCGAGGGCCGTTCGGATCTGGCAAGTCTGTTCCCAACACTTGGCTCAATACAGGAGGTGCTGTCTTGGTTTGGTTGTTCATGAGCTTCCTCCTCGGGGTTGCAACTCGATTTGCAGATGAGTAGTTGATGCCCGAAGACATCATCTTCCTCGACACCCGTGTCCACATCCCACAATGCCGACTGTGTCTCGAGGGGCTTGGGCTTCCCACTCTCCCACCCGCAGTACTTCAGGACGACAGGTGGCAGGCGGGGGGGCGTATGTCAGTTGAAAGGCAATCCATGATGCTTATTGCAGGACATCAAGGTGAGCGAGGCTCTTTTGATGCACTATTCGGGCATGTGCTTCACGTAGGTACCTGGCTCTATCGAGGTTCCCAAATGCAACGAACCCCTTTCCTGAGTGTCGCCGCGCCGTGATGTTCCACTGTCTGCCTACCTAGATACCCAGGCAGGCAGCATTCACATCACAATTTACATATTGCCCACCCCCGAAGCTGTGCAACAACTGTATCCCGCGATGACCATCCTCAGAGTCGTTCAGTCATGCAAGGCCTCCCCGCAGAGCAGGCACAAGGACGCTGGTCGGTCCTAGTGGGCAAGCGCCGTCACACGTCAGAGGACCAGTGTCCCACTCGGCTCGGTGATCCAGGGATGGACCCCGCCAACGAGGAGCTCGTTGGCTTATCAGACCCATCCGGGCCTAGCTTATCGTCCCGGTGCCGCCCACCTCACTGCATCATCACGCGTGACTGCAACTTGGACGGTTCCAGGAGGAACCCGACTTCACCCCTCTTTGTCAACCCTTCTACATAATCTCGTGACTCGCCCTCTGACCCCTCAGCCCAGCATACCGCACAGCCTGTATTGAACCCCGTTTCCTCCAACAACCTCTGCCTTTCGCCATTCCAGTCGAGCCGAAGCATTGCGAGTCATCTCTCAACAAGGACCTATCTCCACCACGTTCATAGTCCGCCAACGTAACCATCGAATTGACAACGCCACCTATCGCGAGAACCCACAGCATCCGGCAAGATGAGCAGCCCGCGCCGCAGAATCGAGACTGATGTATGTGCTCCGCCTCCCACACTCTGTACGCAAGGTTGCCAGAAGGACGCAGAGTTGCTGACTGGTACATTCAACAGGTCATGAAGTACGGTGGCGCAGTTCCGTAGTTCTGCAGTCCCACTAGCTAACATGTCGCAGGATGTACGATCTCTCAGGTCATGGTTGACCCCATGGTACAACTAACACTGCCTCTAGGCTCATGAGCGACTATGAAGTCACGCTTGTGAATGACAACAGTTCGTCTCCGAATCACCAGTACCCCGCCCTTCATCCCATACCCGTTGCTAACCGATCTTAGTGTAAGTAGTATTCGACGGCCAACCGGACACTCGACGACATTCTGACCACTCCGACACAGGCAAGAGTTTTACGTCCGCTTCAAGGGCCCCACGGAGAGTCAGTCGGACCACACTACCAACATGGAATGGCAGACCTGTATGCTGACCTGGAGCAGCACCCTTCGAAGGCGGCAACTGGAAAGTTCACGTCGAGCTCCCCGACAACTACCCCTACAAATCTCCAAGCATCGGCTTCGTCAACCGAATCTTCCATCCCAATATTGACGAGCTGTGAGTGGGCCTACAGAAGAGCAGGAAGCATACGGAACAAACAGGAATTACGAAAGACTGACGCGGGCCTATCCGCAGGTCGGGCTCCGTGTGCCTGGACGTCATCAACCAGACCTGGTCGCCAATGTTCGATATGATCAACATCTTCGAGGTCTTCCTCCCTCAGCTTCTGCGATACCCGAACCCCACCGATCCGCTCAACGGCGAGGCGGCCGCCCTGATGATCAGGGAGCCCAAGAGCTACGACGTCAAGGTCAAGGGTGTGTGCTACCGAGATGGTCATAAGAAAGCAACGACGTGCTGATGATGGACCACAGAATACGTGCAAAAGTACGCAAGCAAGGACGCAGCAAACGAGGCTGGCGCAGAAAGCGAGGACGATGACGACATGTCTTCGGTAGGCAGCTTCGGCGATGACGACGACGACCAGCCCGCTGGCAGGATGGATGTTTGATCGTTCTGTTGCCTTTTTGCAGCTTGGCCGACCAGCGGGGCTACGACAGCCAGTGGCACTGATCCTTTCTAGCCGCGTCTAAAAACCCATCCGTCGCCAGGACAAGCGAGCTCTTTTCTTTTTGTTGTTTGCCTTTCGGGCCACTTGATGCTCGCGGAGTACTTGCCGACGGGGCGTTTTGAAATGATGGGGAGTTTTCATGCAGAGGATCGAAACGCAGCGCCCTCGACTCCTTGACCGGACTGTATAGGTGTGTTTGGATTGCTTTCCGTGCTTTTTGGGATATTCGTCGAATAGGTCATACATGGATGCCCCCTGGATGAGGCGGCCTTTAGGTTTAGGGAATGATTGAATTTACCATCAGTGTTCAGATGAAGGGCGAAGAAGCATGAGATAAAATTGCATGTCATGGCTATTGGTTGATGGTCCTTCCATCCCAAATCAGTGCCAGCCCGGGGTATCTTGACGTAAAAGAAAACATGTGAAAAACAACGCCGCCTTCTAATGCAGTTTGTCCCTGGGGTGTGAGCCCTTTCTCAATCCGACTCCGAGTCATAGGCTACCAATCCCATTGGTGGTGCGGCTTCCTGTTGTGCCGTTTCGCGCGTCGGCTGTTCTGCGTCAGCTCCTTCGGCAGCCTCTCTCTTGCGCTTGATCCCTGAAATGAGGCCTTTCATCTTGGTCGATGAGCTCGACATCTTGGCGTCCACCAAGAATGGATCGGTGGCCATGCGCGTGTTGCCGACAAGCTCCGACACGAAGCCTGCTCTCCGCTGGGAAGCGAGCAGCTTGCTCTTGGGCGTCGCCGCCGCCGTGCCGCCGCCGGCCGCGCTCTTTTTTATTTTGTTCTCCTCCCTCCTGCCGCCTCCGTGAGCCTTGACGAACAGAGGCTTCGCCAACGTCCTGTGGGCACGCTTCCCTGCGTCGTCGCCGTCGTCGTCGTCGTGGTCCCCAAACTCGACGAGGGCAGCCCTCGTCGCATCCGCCTCGGTGGCGGGCAGCAGGTCCAAGTCGAAGCCGATGCGCGCGCGCAGGCCGTCGTCCACCCCGGCCTGGCGCTCCCTCTCGCGGCGGCCGACGCGGAACGTGCGGCGCAGGGCGCGTTGCGCGCGTAGGGGTCGAGCCACTGGCGGCGCGCCACGTCCTCGAGGTCGTCGATGCGTCGGTCGCGGCGGCGGCGGCGTCGCGGTCGTCGATGGTCTTCTCGAGGCTCGCAAAAGGCGCTGGCGCGCAGGGCGGCCCTCTCTTCGTCGGTCATGACGACGAGGTCGCCGTCGCCGTCGCGGGCCGCGGGGCCCGTGTCGCGCTTGGCGGCGCCGGCGACGACGACGTAGGCCGTGTTCTGCGGGTCGGTGGCCACCTCGATGGTGCCGCCGCAGGCGGCGTGGCGCATGCGGAAGGTCCAGATCGGGGTCGAGTGGTAGGCGCCGGTGCGGCGCTTCTCGGCGTTGAAGCGCACGCCCTGGCCGATGATGGTGGGCTTCGGGCAGGTCGAGCACCAGATGGCGAAGGGCATCTCGAAGCGGACCGTCTGGACGCCGGGCTTGGCGGCGGAGCGGCCTGGCGGCAGCTTGGCGTGGAGGGCGTTGCCGGAGACGGTGCCTTCGAGGTCGGGGGGCACGTAGCGGCCCATGTTGAAGCCTTGCATGATGGGCGAGGTGTGTGTAAATGCAGTCGTGTGTGGTCGGAGTTGCTAGACAGCAGTGGCTACAGAATGGCCGAGAGATACGTGCTAATCGACAGTGACGGGATGGCTCATGGCAAGGTCGATCGTGAAGAGCCACACCATGACAGGATCGTGGTTGGGGACCGTGGTTGAGGATCGTGGTTGAGGATCGTGGTTAATGGTCGAGTGGAAAAAGGCAAGAGATACTGTGACGTATCGATGTGGCGCGCGCCAGATGCAGCGGGGCAGTGCTGGCCTTATGGGTACTTAGTACATCCCTACCCGGTAAGCTAGGTACCTGGGAAGGTGGATCAAGGGCCTTTAGCTAAGGAACCTACCTTCAGGACCTACATGGCACAGCAGCACTGGCTCTTGGGCATTCCCAGGTACCTGCCTAGGGAGGTAGGCAGGTACCGTAAGGTACTGTAAGGTAGGTAAGATAAGGTACCTAGGTAAGGTACCTGCTCGTCCGCGGCCTGTGCCTCCCGCCCTTCCCACACCTCGACTCTGGCTTGGCTTGGCTCGACCGACCCTGGGCTCGCCCTCGATGCAATGTGACCACCCCTCACCACCATCAACACAACCCAATGGGCAACCCTGGCGTCGTGAGGCTGAATTCAGCTGGGCGCCTCTTTTTCGGCTTGGGAATCTGCACAGTTTGGGGGCCAGCCTGGGGGCCAGCCTGGGGGGTGTGTGTGTGACCGACGCAGAGCCGCTTCGTTCCCTGTCAAAGGCTGTCACACCCATCGCATAAAGATGACAGACGGCCCAGGGTTGTTCGCGTCCCCTGCTGGACCAGCAAGCCAACACGACCTGCACACCACGTCAAACGTCTCCTCGTCCGACAGCCAGCCGCAGCAGCAGCAGCAGCACCCGCCATGGACGTCCTCCGCCGCCTGTCACCCGACGCCTTTACGGACTCGGCCAAGTTCAAGAAGCCACCCGTGTCATGCAAACATTTTGACGTCCGTCTCATCAAGATTGAATGCGACCACGAGGCTATCCCCCAGTTCAACGACGTGGGCAAGATTTCCGAAACCAAGTTGAAGACAGACCTCGCTGCCCCGACCCCGAGAGCCGCACCCGCACCCACAACAACGCCTTTGCCTGCTCCCGCATCTGCACCCTCACCTCCTCCCGCACCTCCTCCCGCACCTGCTCCCGCACCTGCTCTCGCGCACATCTCTCCGTCTCTGCAGCTCGTCGTCATTGACCGCGGCGGCGACGATGACATTGACATGGCCAAGGAACGATTCCTCGAGCTCTTTGACGACTTCGACATCGATCCCATCATCCTGCAGCAGATCGCCTACAGCAGCTACGGCTTCCACCACTACGACGAGCCCTACCGCGGGACCTACAGCTTCTACATTGGCACCTACGTCTTTGCCCTCGCCTGGTCCTTCAACCCTGCCACCATGAAGACCAACGCCATCCTGCTGCTGCGCAACACGCCCGTGCTCCGCCACGGCACGCTGGCGCTGACGAGCATCCAGAAGACGCTCAATCTGTACAGCCGCTGCATCCACTCGCCCTTCTCCTCCTCGAA